CCCCATTAGGTAATTACATGTTTTAGAAGAATACCTCAACATACCTTGAAGAATACCTTGTTGAAGAATACTTCAACAAGGAAAAAAGTTAAAAACCAGTAAAAATTAAACAAAAACCTTCCCACGCTGTATATAGTTGTGAGATCCATCATTTGGCAGGGATGCATAAATACTATCCAAAGTAGAGCAGGAAACTACTAAATGCATGCAAAATAGAACAGCAACAAGAGAAAGATAATGGCTATCTCAGTGGGTAGCTAATACTGACTTCAAAAATCCTCCCAAGCCTGTTCCAACACTGTAAGAGTTTCATAAACAAAACCTACCAAAATCAGCTGCTGTCACTGGAGCCCTGTTTACTTGCACAGTGCTCCTGTGACATGTGGAGATGACACACAGCCTTACTGAAACACAATTGTTAAGTACTGTCCACTGTTCAGCTAGAAAATCTAGGAACAGAATCTAGGCATTAGCCCATTGCCCTAACTCTTACAAAAGCCTTTCTCCCTTAACAAAGGATGTTATATTTATCTCTGTTCTCTGTGGTGCTCACAGTGATGCCATGCACTCCTCCATATCGACCAGTTTACAACACATTGGTTTGTGTCCCTTACATTCCCTGCACCCCACAGAAGGGAATCGGTGCCTACAGTCAGATTTTATTATCAAATACTGTTTTAACACAGTGCAAGCGCAGTTCCCAGGCTCTTGGTTCAGCATCCTCCAGTGACTTTAGTAAAAGGTCATTATCACTGATTTTTTTTCACTTCAGGTGGTTATGTTCACTGCTGACACTAATATGAACAAATAAAATAAAAGTTCATGTTGATACTATTAAATATGTTATGGATATTTTATATTTCTTACCACAGTTTTTACAGTTTCACAAATATCAAAATCCAGGTGTACATTTCCATTTTGCAACATAGAATGACTATACAATTCCAAAAAGAGCAGGCATTTCAAATACACAATTCTGAAGTGTAAACACAGTGTACAAGCTCTTCACTTCACAATCCAGGTGCTATGCAGTAGCAGCTGAGGTAACACCATACAGCATGAACTCAACAAATGGTTGGTTAGCCTCAAGATGATGTTTAGCATCCTTCTGTCCTGTCACCTGTTCAGTCTTTAGTTCTCCCCCAAGTTATACAAACATACAATAAATACATTTCTGATTTTAAAGGACACTTAGACAAGTCATGAGGATTTATGTGAGTACAGTACATTTAAGTTCAAGTGCAAAAAAAGGAACTAGTGGCTAGTCATTGATGTCTCTTGTCTATGGTGTTGGTCCCAGGCACTGCCAGAACGTGGGTTGTTCTAAAAGCACAGCTAAAGCACAGCTATGGGACACCCCTTCAGTCAAGCTAACAGATGTCAAAGTGGGTAAACCTGTGCACCCCCTTCCCTGCTCAGCTGCTGCCACCTTCCTCTCCCTGACTCTGGGCTCCTGTTGGCCTTGCCTCTGGCTCAGCACAGTCCCACAGCAGCACCTTCCCCACGGAAGGCCTCGCACCTCTCACACATCTCACTTCCAGGAGGGAGCTGAGCAGTGCTCCCTCAGTCCCATGGGAGCAGAGTGCTCAGGATCTCCCAGGAACAAGCTGTTCATCTAAGAAAATGGGCCAAAACACTATCCTGACTAAACCCCCCCTGACTCTTCCCTGAGCCCGAGGATTTCCCTCCAGCAGCAATTTTCACTATGCACCAGCACGAGCTGGCTGCAGACAGTATTAAGAAGCGTAACAAAACACAATCCAAAGTCCTCCAGTGTCTTGACATTGGACAAAGTAACTTCCCGAACGTAATGCAACTGAGTTACATTTGCTTCCTCCTGAGAATCTCTCATTCTACTTGATTTCTGCATCCACTACTTTGCCCCTATAATGCTAAACATTAAGATTTTAAAGTGATTCCTCCCTACCCCCCCCACCTCCCCTAGGCACTTAAAGCTTACCGTTTTCTTAATAAATAACCATAGTAACTACACTGCATTAAATAAACCTTTGTATAGATGATGAAATAAAAAACCCAAAATGACCATTGATCAATCTCAGGCTGTGCAATCTTGATCAAAGATTCTTGTCTCAATACAACATCAAACCTAAAATTACCCAAATGCACCTAACCTTATGCCCAACTGCAGGGCTGCAAGCACAGAGGGTAACTTCTTCAGAAGCCTTCCTCCAGCTTTTGTGTTGCACTAAAACTCCAGTTCAAAACCTTTGTTTTGCAGAACTAAACTATTTTCTCAAACAACACATTAGCTTCAAAAACATATTCTTTGAATATGCATGTGGTTTACTTAATCCATCACCATAATATCAAGATACACTTCCTTAAGCCACTCTGTTTCTGTGAAATCTTTCCAAAGACAGTTTCATGACATTCCTAGAATTATTTATTATTAGATCTGGTATTTTCTAATAGACTATTCAGGGAAACTCAGTGTCTCTCTTAAAAAGTCTTTTAATTTTAATTTGGGAATAAATTTAAAGAAAAAGAAATTATCCAATCAAGTCAGACACAGTGTGCCTCAACAAATGAGGAGTCAACTCCATTTCATAGCACTTGACTCAGCTTTAGCAAAGCAGCCGAGAATTCTTCCTACCATTATATCTGGCCACATCACTTCCCTCAAGAATCCAAACTTTTGGCTTCCCTGCTCGTGTTGCTCTGTGTAGTCATATGAATATTTTTTATATAGTTAAAAGCTTGCACTGCATCACATTATGATTGTTAAGATGAAGGAAGTCCTACTTTTGAGCTCCTACTCCAGCATTTCCCAGGTGAGAAGCAGAATTCCATGCACTGGATTTGGTAAGATGAGCGCATCTCAGGGCCCTGCAGCAGCAGGCTGAGCATCATGATCCGACACCACACGGTTGCCATCTGCTTGGGAATCTGATGGTGCTGTAGGTGTTGGTGCCGAACAATTTCTGGACTGCTCAGAATCTGTCGGATTTTGGGGTTGTCTTGCTGAGCTAGCTGACGAAGCGCTGCAATTCTCATTGGTTTTCTAAAAAGAGGGGAAAGGATTGCATGCCAAAAGTCAACATAAATACTCAGGATGCTGTCCCCGCTGGCACACCCCCAGATGCATTCAGGCACTGCTGGAAAATCACAAAGCACTTGTTCTGAATGCCCGCAACATAACAACTTAAAGTTAAAGCAGCAAAGCAAAAGTAGTACATTTAAATCCAGATGACACTAATAGCAAGCAGACAGCAGCTTACCTTCCATCTCTTTTCCTAACTGCATTTTCCCAAGAAGCATGCAAAAAACAAACTTGTGTTTCAAGGGGAAAAAAAACAATTAACTGGACTTCAAAGTGTTTAGACAAGATAATTCTTTGGACTAAGCAAGTCTATAACATTTCTTTTTTTCACGCTTCTTAAATACAGCTTTTCTCAGTGGATCCCGCCCTCCCCAAGATACTGGTCAGACTTTCTGACTTAAAATTTTTGCTGTATTGATGTACAAATCCATCCAATCTTCTCAAACAAGCCTTACCAGGGAACATAAAAGATCATTTAAACACCAGTTACATTCCCAGGGCTGAAACAGCAAACATCCACACTAACACGTTTTGTTAGAAGGTGATACATTGCCTGATTATTTGTTTTGCACTGAAGCTTAGAGAATAAGGCAAGCATGTCCCTTTGTTTGAAGGACTATAAGCAAGCAGAAGGAAAACAGATCTAAAATCTTAATGAAATAAGGTCACATTTTTGTCACTAATTCTCTGTGCACTGACCCTCCTTTCAAATGATCTATCTTCATTTTAAGAAAGCTATTTAGCAAATTTAGTAAGAGAGCTGGGCAGTCTTTTCCTAGTTTCAGTATTTTAATATCATCAGCCTAAAATAAATGACTGAGCATAAAACCTGAAATATTTTGGAGCAAGTTTGTCCTTTTGGAGCACTGAAACAGGGATGAGAAATTTTGGAGAATACACATGATGAAGAAAATTATACCTTTTTCTTGATGCACTGAATTTTGGCACATTAACAAGACATACTTTTGTATCAGGACTGTATTTTTACAGGAAGGAAAGCATAGTGAAGACACCATGTGCTATAGAAAACAGCCACAAAAGCCCTTCTGGCCACTTCACAGTGCTCAGGGAAGCAGCTGGGCTGTGTCCAGCAGTGTTGGATAAGTCACTCTCAGACACCTCATACCTGGTAAAACATTATTTTCTTGCCATGTTCACTGCCTGAATTCTGTGTAACTTCTTTGCTCTGATTTTGCAGAGCGCAGCTTCCACTAACCAAGACCCTGAGGACATTTGTAATGGGAAACTGAGCAGTTTGTTTGGCCACATTACTTTGATGTCAGAGACCTTGTGAT